GGGGGTGTCGGAGGCCGGGTGGGTTTCGGGGGTGTTTTGGGCATTAAAGCCAACAAAGGAGGATGAGGAGGGTCTTGGCAAGCCAAGGCGATGCAAATCCCAGTTCCCGCAGCACCAGCGCTGAGGGGAGATGCGGTGGTTTATTCTGCTGATGCAGTGAAATCTGGCTGTGGGTGACCCTTTTGGGTATACAAAAAAGTAAAGCGAATTAAAAACAAAAGCAAAACCGAGGAGAAACCAGCCCGTGGGTGTCCACAGCCCCCTGGGGTGACTCAGCCTCGGGGAGGAAGAGCAGTAACCGTCTGGGATCCACAAACTGGTGGCTTTTTTTTTGGAAAAAAAACCCCATTATCTCCAACTATTTTGATGGGGAGCATATGATGGGGAGGGAGTTTCAGACCCAACAGGGCTGCCTAAACCCCAGTTTAACCAAAACAAGCAGCAGAGTTGCCTGAAGACGGGCTTACTCCAGCCCTACAACAGCGGGCAGGGCCAGGGGGATGGATGCTCCTCCCTTGCCGCCCCTGCTCTAGGATCTTGACTGGGGGGGAAAGGAAAAAATAAATCACTTCACCAAAAGGTACTGATGCAAACCGGCTGCCGGCGTGAAAAACCGCTCACTTAATGCGCTCAGGGGATTTGCATTCCTGTCTGAGCAAGGTATCGGCTGGGGTGTCGGTGGGGATTCACGCAGCTTTTTAAGCCCCAAGTAATTTAATATCGTGCGGATGGGCAAGTCACATAGAGGTTTTAAGGCAGGAACAGCAGTTTTATATGGGGGAGAGCTTTGCAGACCCATGGCAATTTTAAAAGCAAAGCAAAAAAAAAACCAACAAACAAAACTATCTCCAAAACAGGGCTCTGCAGCGAGGGCGGGGGTGAGAGCTGCAGGGCCTGGGTACAGAGGCACATCCCGCTACCCTGAATGGAAGGAAAGAGGACATTTGGGGAAGCCAGTGGTTTTTGAGGGGCATTAAGACAAAAATAGCCTAAACAGGGTTGTTGTCTGTGACCGGGGCACGGATCCAGTTTCCAAGGG